TAACCTTGTTAATATCAAATACTTCTTCAGGTATTTATATATATAAATTTGGAGCTCTTGACTTCCACATCAAAATTTACTCAGAAAAACCTTAACTTATCATTAACCTTGTTAATATCAAATACTTCTTCAGGTATTTATATATATAAATTTGGAGCTCTTGACTTCCACATCAAAATTTACTCAGAAATTCTGAAACAGATATAATGATAGTCTGTGGTCAATAGTATTTTCTAATAGAAAAGACCCGGAAAACAGGGGGTTTGGACTAGATGACCTTTAAAGGTCCCTTCCAACCCAAACTATTCTATGATTCTGTGATTTTATTTTAAAATAATTGTAACTAAATATTGTCTTTTAAACTATAGAAATTAAAATATTTTTTGATTTATGAAGTTTATTCTTTTATTAAGACTCCTACTTGGAACAGCTACAAGATACTTGCAACAGTTAACAGAGCAATGTTACTTTAGGTAGTTTTTCCACATTGTTGCCTGTCTGGACAGAAAATAACCTTGCCAGTTTTCCTCTCTGAAAAGGCCCTTATTAATGACAGAAAAACTATTATATTTAACTAGGAACAGAAAGACAGCAATTGGTGTGTTTAACATAGTAAACATAATTTAACTTTTAAATGACTAAAACTTTAATATTGAAAAGGCTGCCATATCACAATAGCTCTCTAACTCTCCCTGCATTTATCTGGAATAGAAATGTAACTGTTATGCTACAATCTTTGGCGGGTAACTTGATGGGCTTCTTTTTTCCTGTGAATTTAAAAAAAAACAAAGAAAAAAAAACACCAGCTAAAATGATAGAAAAGGATTTGTTATAGTGTATGTGGTGGAGGGAGACAGAATTCTTCTGTACCATAGTGGTTTTCATGTTAAAATAAATAGAAATATTTTGCATCTTTGTAAAAGTAGATTAACCACTTATCCTGGTTTAATCTATTTGAAGACTTTTTTACTAATACGAATATGTGATAGCCAACTGTTTTGCTTTTTATATTCAGAGTAATTCTTAAATTAACAAAGAATATCAGTTAGCTTTAATGTGTTTTCTGTTTGCTTATACCATTATCATATGCATCTCTTATGCTTTCTAATTTTCCATACGACTTCTGCCTATGAAGTTTTTCTTTGTTTGCTGCTCATTTGCTGTGCTTGCCTGACTTGAGAGTGAAATCTTAATTCAGAATAAATGATCATATAAGCACATAGCAAATATGCAGGAATTTTGTCTCCTTTGTAGGATCCTGAAGAAAGATTGGTTTCCTGCAAAATAACTACTGAAATGTAAATATGTGCAGAAAATGTAAGGGGATTATAGACAACTGGAGGAAAAAATGCAAAGACAATTGTATAAAAAAACTCTTTCTGTATAGTTTTGGGTTTTCTTTCTTTTTCCCCATCTTTCAACAAGTGTTGCTACCTGATGTTTTAATTTCTGTCTTTTGGGTTTCTGTAAGTATGCAAGTAGTTTACGAACACAGTACTATCAAATATTTATACCGTATGTGGTAACTACTGACTTACAGTATTCAGGAAGCAGGTATCATCCTGTCAGGTGCATGACTATTATTGTTTGGTATTCTGCTAATGCCTTGAGCATATGTAGTTATACAGCAGTCTGAACTAAACAGTGACAATCTTTTTTCCAGAAATCTAGGGATAAAAAGCAAGCAGACAGAGCACTAAATGCTTGTATAAATGCAGACCAATCAATCCTAGGGAAACACATGTCGTTTAGGGCAATACTGTTAAAAAAAGTACTGCAGCATCTTTTGATGTAACAGGTAGCCAAAATAATCAGTTTCCCACACCTGTAATATGAAATTTTATTTATATTTGAAAAGCTTTTATTTTATAAAATGAGGCATTTTCAACATGTGATGTAAATAGCAGTACCATATTAAACAATTAACGGGCTTAGACTTTAGATACCCAAAGAAGTGGCATATGAGAAATATGTTTAAATATCACGACATTGCAAGGAGTGAGCTGGATAAAGCTTCCTTCTCAATCCTGAAGGCAAGATTTACTAACGAGAGCTAATTTAGCTTTTTATTCTAATTTGGAAAGTCCTGGGAACATGGGGAGTTTTGCTGTAAACAAATGCATTTCCAATGAGTATAGTTCTGACTTTTAAAGTGGAGTATTCTCCTTCCTGTCATTTAATATCCATCTTAGCAAAACATAGCTTCTCTACAAAAATTTCGCCTGGTAGTTTGCCTGGAATGTGTTTCGAAGATTACTGTACCTGGCATAAAAAGTGGCCCTTGTGCCCAGTGTGCACTGGTGAATATTCATGTAACCACCTGAAAGTTTTTTGCTGCTTATCCAGAAAGGCATTTCATGCAGAATCAATTCCAAATAGGTTCTGTCGTCAGGCTCCCTCCCCAGTCTCTCCTAAAAAAACTACTGCAGGGAGGTGAAGAAAGAATTTTTTACTTTCTTTCACAAGTCCCAAAGAAACAAAAATCTACATTTAGCATTCATATTAAGTCACTTTGGGAAAGATTCTGCCAACTTTAATTCATTCATTGTTTGGTTTGTAATAATTCTAAGCCATATGCTTTTTTAAACCTATTTAACTTGGGCTAGGTTGTTTTGGGAGAGAGCAATTATACACGTTCTTAAAAGGAACACGTATGTCCTGTTAGCCTTTTGCTCTAAAGCTGAGCCAGTTGTGTTTTAATTACAGTATTGTTAGTTGAAATTACAGTCACTAGTGTGCTTCTGATATTAAAACTCTTGATTATAGCTTTGAAAACATGGATCCAGGAAACAACACTGAGCCCCCATGATGAAAAGGATCCTATTGAAAAGCATAATTAGCTACATTTTAATAGCCTTTTTAAAAGAAAACAGACTTATGTATGTTTTTGCTTTTCCCTCTTTTTATCATTTAGAAGACTTGATTTAAATATAGATGTTAAATTCATTCAGGATCTGTTGATTATTAGTAATTACCAAATCCAGGATTTTAATCCATAAACTTTTTTTTTTTTTTTCTAATATGCTTCATTCAGTCTCTTCAGAAATTGGAGACCTTCAAACTATAGAAAAGCAGAATGGGGAGGATCTGATGAAGCAGCGGGAGCGGGGTTGGAGTTGGGTGGTTTTGTTTTGGGGTGAAATTCATTCAGGATCTGTTGATTATTAGTAATTACCAAATCCAGGATTTTAATCCATAAACTTTTTTTTTTTTTTTCTAATATGCTTCATTCAGTCTCTTCAGAAATTGGAGACCTTCAAACTATAGAAAAGCAGAATGGGGAGGATCTGATGAAGCAGCGGGAGCGGGGTTGGAGTTGGGTGGTTTTGTTTTGGGGTGTGGGTTTGTGGGTTTTTTTAAGCCTTTCATGATGCCACAGGCAACTATTTTTATTTTTTACTAAGTCAGCTCTGAATTTTTTAATTTGCAAATAGGCAGTACTAGTATGTGATAAAAGGCTTCTGTTAAAAGTGTTTTATTTTAGCTTCTTAAAGCTATTTTTGATAGCTTATTATTTTTGATAATATTAATGAGCTGGGTTCAATTGAGAGCATCTAGGGAGTTTAATTTAAATCTGCTTGTGCAGTAGACCCGATTCCACTTTGAATGCTGGGATTCCAAAACCTTAAAAAAAAAAAAAAAAAAAAGAGCTAAACTAGATTGTTTTCAAAAGAAGGTAATAGCACTACGTTTTAGGGCAAAGATACAGACACACGTGTCCTTAATAACCAAATTCCGAAGACGGTCCAGCTTCTGCTTGGGACAGCCTCTCTCCGTAAGAGGAAGGATTCTGCGTTCAGCAACTGGCTAGGTCATTTTCCCCCTCTAGCAGTATTGGGTTTTTTAAATGTTAAAAGTGAGCAATAAGTTTTGCAGTTATATACCTCCCAGAAGAGGTAGCAGCCGAAAGCAAGAAAGACTTTCTCAGCTGGAAGAAGGGAATTTATAATATAAAACTTGGGCACTCTTCTGAAAGGCAGTTGAAGAGAAACAGCTTGAAACTTGGAAAAAAGGATGCTCCATATTGGTTCGCAAACATGCTGGATAGAATTTTTCATGGTTTTTGCTAAAGAAGGCATTCTATGCTGGATATTTTTCTGAGGTACACGTATCTCAATCCACTGAGGGGGAGAGGAGAGGAGGGGCAAGGTTCTTGGTTTTGCTTTAATTCATATCCTTAGAAATAAAATTAAACTGAGGAATGATGTTGAGGTTTCAAATATCTTTTACAACAGGGAAATAATCCCCATATAAAGAGAATGAGTAGAGAGGATACAACATTTGCCAGATGTGTTTTTTGACAATGATATACTTAAATCATATCTCTTATGCTTTAGATCTCCTTCTCTGTGAGACAAGCATGGAAATTGAAGGCTGTTCAATACGTCATTTAGTGCCCTTCCTGAAGAGCTGCATGTTCGTTAGAATGATTTTCCTTTTTCTTCTGTCTTTTTAGCAATTGTGTCAACAATTCAGTGCCTTTTCCCTCACATTATGATGAACCAGGACTGGGAATTCCCATTTTCCTACTTGCTTTTTTAAAAATATTTCTGATATATTTACAAAAAAAAAGAATACAGTTAAGAAGACAGTGTAATCTTTTTAGTCACCAGAATCTTTTCTCTTTCCCCTCTTAAACTGACCTTTCCAAACAGATCTTTGATTCAGGTTTAAAGCAGGCAATGTCACATGCCAAATAAATAAGTTCATTTATTGACTTTCAAATAAATTAAAAGTCACTGGATAAATGTAATAGATTAATGTTAGTAAGATGGTTATTATAAGCCTGTAAGTCTATTACTGGCCTTAGGATAGTAAGAATAGGGACACTCAAGTTTGAGATGACAGAAACAGTAAAGACTTTGTTGAGTGTTAGAGGCACATTGCAAAAGAAACAGCTAAATTTATAAAGGATTAAGAGGAGAAAATAAAGGACTGGAAAACTTAAGCAGCTTGGTTTAATGTTTATTTTACTTATCACTCAACTTCTTCATACTTAGGTTGCTACTTTGGGACTGTGATGATAGGAGCTACAGCTACTACATTGAGGTTTCAACGAATCAGCAGCAGTGGACTATGGTGGCTGATCGCACAAAGATTTCCTGCAAGTGAGTTTAATTTTTTCCACTTATTTGCACAAAGTCAGAACTGGAAAATGGGTTTTTTATCCTTTTGTTCAGTACTTACATAGGTGACTTTTTGACTAGGAAAAGAATGATCATTACATAACTCGTAGATTTCTAACTCTAGACCCTTGTAAATACAACTTTAGGATGTAACAGCTTCTAGTGTGACTGAATATCTAGACTTTCAAACCAGAATCAAGTTCTGAAGATCCACATCAGTACTGGATCTTCAAACAATCAGTTTATTTGTTCATTCGCAGAAACAGTCTGCCTACCATACCCTTGGTTTTGTGATCGCTGGAAGTTAAACCATGTTTCTCTGGAGTTCACGTGTTTATGGTGACCCTGGTGTCAAATCACCCCTCCTTGAGAGACATGGTAGGAGAGGAAAAGAGAGCATGCTTGGTAAAGGATTTTCTTAATCAAATGCATTTCTCCCTTATCAAAGCATATGAATGTATTGTATGATATTTGAAGGGGGTGGGGAGGGTGAGGGTAGGGACCAAACCATAACAGATCAACCAGTTACCTAAGCTTGACCTTGTCTCTGTTCAGAAGCAGAGTACCTGACCTATACGCACTGACCACTCTGCTTTTGAACAGGACCCTTCCATAAAAAACCATGCTTCTTACAAAGAGAAAGAAAAGCGAGAAAAACTTTCATTTTCATTTGTATACTAAAATCAAGAGAAATCAGGTATGAATACTTCTCCACATGTATACTCTCCATTGGCTTTTCTGTAATTATTGGGTCTGCTGATAAAACCCATTCTTCTAGTATAGAAGAGTAATTCAGTATTGATAGCCTTCTTAAACCATTTGATAGTTCTAAATCCAAGTAAAGAATGACCCAGATACTTGTCATGGGACTGAAAAGATAGGCTGCAAATTTATACGTTACATATCCTGAAGTCAGGTATTCTCAGCATTCAGTGAATGTTGATAGGATATGATCTCCTGACTGATCCCCAGGGAAGCTCAGACTTATTTCTCTCCTTTTTCCCGAGTCAGTTTCCATAAGATATGCTTTCTTTCCTGTGACAAAATTGAAGTCATCAGCTCAGATGGAGACAGCCCCCACTCATCCTGTATTTGTGCCAACCAAAACAAAATGGATTTTACAAATTCAGAGTTGTATCTTAGTTCGTCACATCAGGCAAGAGGGTTATTCAGTCCTTTCTAGCAACAGGGCTGATACACATTTTCTAAGGTTTTTTTTTCATCTCTTAACAAACAGTGCAATTCAAACGTGTCACAATGTGGTCTAGACATGTTGGTGAAGGAGAACTTGACACGTCCTTTCACTGTCTGTAAAGGACAGGGTATTGATGAGCAGAAAACCTGGGTTCTGCCTGCAGGTCTGGAAAAAGAGTAAGGGAGATTTAATCATTCTCAAAGGCATCTCGGCGTAATAGATAAAATTCATCTTTCTGTCTGTCTCCAGCAGTGGGAGCACTAAAAGGCTGAAACCAGAAAAGAGAGAGAGAGGGAGAGTCAGAATCAGAATCTTTTTGAACTTTTTCCTTGTACATATTTTGATACTAATAGTCTGTAACAATCAAAAGGAGCACTTGCTCAAGTATGCACAGTGCAGGTGGAATTGCTGGTTGGCTGCCCAGTTCAAGTATCTACTCACCATGTTCAAAGCACACTTTATTTTTTTAAAGCCTTAACCTTGGACAAGTACAGGTGCATCCCTGAAATAAAGATAGGTGCCTCCTCATGGTATACTTCAAGATCTTGATTCAAAATGTAGGTGCTCTGGAAGTTCTTAAAGCCGTGGCTGCAGGAACTATTTTCATGTGGATTAAAGAACTGTATCTTGCCTAACTTCTTGCTCTGACAGACATGCATCCAGCTAGCAAAATGTCAGTCTTTAATTTTAAGTCTACGAACTTACAGTGTCCTAGCATTGTCTGCAATTATCAGTTCTAAACAAATACAAAGACCTGGTCCTAAAACTTACAATTCCAAAAGCTCAGTGGACTCCAGAACAATTCAATTTAACAAGGACTAGAAAATTGTAAGAAAAAGCATCAACCTGAAAAAGCTCACTTCTCTTTGAAACTTTTCTATCCTCTGCAGTTATGTTTAAATACCATATCATCTGTAACTGAGATAAGTTGAAAGGTTTGTGGCTCCCCACATAAGCCCCTCAATTTTCAGGTGCTTTCTTTGCATTTGACAGCATTTTTTCATATTCAATTTAAATCTCTTGCCCTTTATGATCAGCAAATTGGAGTTGTTTTTAACAGTCACCACACCACAGAAAAGAAAACCCTTTAAATATGTTTAATTTTCTTTTCAAGTAGGATTTGCAAAAATGCTGAATTGACTTCAGCTCAAAAATTACTTTGATTGTAATTGCAGGTTGATAACTCCAAATACTACATAAATAAGTATATATATAATATAGAAAATAAATATATATAATAGTATATGTATATTTATATATTTATAAATTATATATTAATCTGTGTATAGATATTAAACATATAAAACAAATATATAAAATACTGTATACATGCCAAATGCTATAAATGTTAGGACTGTTTTCTAAGTAGAGAGTATCTTCACTGCACGAAGCCAGAGCTGGACCACTTTCATTTTACTGAGAAATACTGAAACATGGTACTGTGACCATAAAAAGCCATATTCTTAGTGCTCAAAAATAGTTGAATGTAGAATGGAAGAGATATCATCGTTCAGTGACTCCTGCTCTGAATGAAGGCCCTCACTTAAAAATTGTTGGACAAGATTTCAATATGGTGAAGAAGATGTCTTAATGAAAAAGAGAAAATTGAGACAGTCACTGGTAGGAATGTGAAGAACTGACTTTTTGGTTTCATTTCTGTAAATTTAAAAAAAAAAAAAAATCTTGAACCAAATTGAAAACGTGGATTTTTTTGCCCCGAGAAAAACAAACAAGTTATTTTAATGTCATGTAATTTTAACAACAGAAACAAACAGAAGAGATGAAGAGTTGGATTTTAACCAAATTAACAGATGCTGTAGTAAGGCGGAGGTCGTGCAGTTTACCTGGTTTACCATCACAGTGTAATGGTAAAGATACTCCTGCTGGATGCAAGAGAGATTTTTTTTTTCCCCTATCTCTGTCCTTCCCCTTACCATGAATACCTTGGTATTTTATGCAAACAGCACAGCTCCACAGAGAGAAATCTGCCTCTAAATGCCTTTTGGTCGAGTGATTCGGGCACTCCCCAAGGAAAAGCAAGAATCAAACTCGTGCACTGTGCCTGGGTTTGACTCATCATCAGGTTTAGGCAGACAGTTAAAGATTCCTGCATTCAGCAATTTACCTTAACCAGATTACAGCATAACAGGATGGAAGCGACAGTACCCTCATCAATTCGTTCTCCATGTTTATGAATGCTGCACCCCCTCTCACCTGGAAGAAATGCAACAAATCTTCTGCTAATGTGGTCAAAGTTTGCAACTATTTTTTGTCTCAGCCAAATCCTAATTTTTTAGATGAATACTTGGACATCCCAGCCCGAAAAGGGCTAATCCTACACTGGTATAAAAATTGTCATCACTTAGGCTTACATGTCTTTGTTTAAAGAAAATGAGAAGTAGGTATGTCCTTGCCTGGGACTATGATTGCCTGTTTGACTACAAGTACCTCTCAGAGCAACAGTCAACTAAGAATCATTATACATGTATTTGTGTGAGGCTGAAATATTAATTCTTTCCAAAAAGTATACTCCAAATTATGTCTGTTTCTCTTATAAATTTTGGAGATGTGAGTGCAGTCTAGGTGGTTGATAAGGTCTTGAAATCCCGGGTTGACCCTTTCTGGCATTAGTTCTGTGTTTAATACACTGCAGTAGACTCCAGAAAAATAACTGGCTTGCTTTTCTGTGTAGGATATGCTGCAGTATCAAATGAAAGTGGATGGAGTTAAAACCTGGGAGAATTTTGCAGGGGCCCACATTTGAAGAGACAGAATACTTGCAGTGGGAAAATTTACTTTGCTAGTAATACTCTCTATTCACTTTCCTGTCTTCAAAGACATGTGGATAAGAGTTATTTCCCGTGCTGTGTGCTGCCTGGCTTTCTATCTACCCGGTCTTTCAGTGGAGTTACAATCCTTTGTGAAAGTCATTAGCGTGCTGTCTCACAATTGTCCTGTGAGGTCTCCAAATCATTTTGCTGAATCTCTGGCATAAGGGGTAAGATGAACCATAAAGGCAGCAAACACAGACCTCAACAGACACCTTTGATGATCAGTAAGTGGCAAACAAAACAATGAGAAAGAAAATTAAATTATGTTTAAATAGCATATATTGGTTTTGGCAGTCTGCTGAAGCATGAACTTTCCCTTTAAACTGTCAATATGCTGCTTTGGGTTGTTTTAATAGTATTTTTAATGTAGTGTTTTGTGTAAATTAATAATTCAGTGCTCAAAGCCAGGAACTGACAGGCTACTCCTAACCTCCTCTTCTCCCAGTTTTAAAAGGCTGAAGACAGAAAGTGGATGTCTGTTATCTTCACGGGAGAAGCTTGCTTACCTTCCCTAAGTGAGAGCCAATTAATGCATACTGGTTGTGTAATTGTCAATTTTCAAATGCCCTATGGAGACTTTTTTTTTTTCTCTTTTCCACAATAAGCTGTTTTTTTCTACACGGTATGACAGTAATGAAAAACAGTCATGTTCCATTCTATTTTTTAAAACATTTATGATAAGTGGGCTTGAGCATGTTAGTGTCGAACAATAGAGACCTGCACTTATTAGAGGAATTTACTGACAGAGTCTGAAAGTCAAATGAAAAACAGAAGATACCAAAGGCCAGTAGGAGTCAGACCTCAGAGTTAATGACACTTTTGATAAAATAAGCCCTGTAAAGACAAATATGAAACAGGCTATCATGATGGTTATCAACTCGGTATCGTTCTTTTAAAGTTCTCTTGCATAGTTATTGTGAAATAGAACTAATCCATTGGCAGCAGACGTACCATGT